GAAAAATTACAAAGATAAAAATTACTAATCCCAATGAAATTTGAATATTTTGTCAAATAAGACTTGCTGATTAAAACTGCAATATGTAAATTAGTGGCACTGAAATGAATGACGTCATCTGCATTGAGCCTAAAACTGTATGTTTGATCGCAAGTTTGCGAATTTTGCTGTGTTTCGGAAATTAGAAATTAGAGATAGCCAATTTGTAACAATGACCTCCAGTCATCATTTGTTAGAAGAACTGCGGTGAATTCTATCTATTGGCAATTTGTAACAATGACCTCCAGGCATCGTTTGTCGGAAGTACTGCGGTGAATTCTATTTATTGGCAATTTGTAACAATGACCTCCCAGGCATCGTTTATCCGAAAAACTGCTGTGGATTCTATCTATTGGCAATTTGTAACAATGGCCTCCAGGCATTGTTTGTCCGAAGAACTGCGGGGAATTCGAACTATTGGAAGACTAGAGGTAGGACAAAGTCAGATAGAAGTGGCCAGGTGGCCAAATGTCAATCTTGTAGTTCATTGACTTTGGCAACAAAGAACAACAACATTTTATTTGTTTATCACAATTATCTGGCATCATTTTATTTCAACAACAGCATTTTATGAAAGAATATTTTGTTGATACGTAAATCTCAGACAAATTAACGATTATTTAAATGTGAAAAATAAACTTGGAAAAAAAAACTTTAACCTACGATTTACGGAGTGTGAGACACAATAGGAAGTATTACGCAAGAAATAATTTTACTTTTTAAATATAAGTAACGATGTTATATAACAGTTCAAATTTGAAACGATTTTTATCTCTATGGAGTTTTTAATATTTTTAAAAATATTGATACAAATGTTAAGATTTGAATTTGGCAGCATCCAATGCCACTCGCTCGTTTTTTATTTTATTTATTTATTTTTCTTTTTACTTTTGATATCGAGTCAAGTGCGAACTTATAAAAGGCAGATTTTGAGAGATATAAATAAACTTTTTGTTCAATAATACGCAAACGTAAAGTAAAAAGAAAAGTGAAAAAAATTGCAAAAAAGCAAAATTTCTGAAGTAACTTTAAAAAAAAAAAAATTTTAAATTTAAAAAATTTGAAAAAAAAAATCGTATGGAGAAAGAATAAAATTTATGTTTAATAATGAAATTATTGTCAAATTACTAATGAATTCTTAATTTTTATTTTAAACGTTTTTAATGTCATCCGAATCCAAGGTAATAGTAATATTGCAATTGATATGCTCCATATTCAGATGCAGAAACAAAAGAGAAGGTCAAGTCGGAGAGTCGTCTAACAAGGTGAGACAGCAGATTATTTTTCGTGAGTCCGCAGAATTATCACCTCCTATAATTGTTAGCATAGCATTCGCAAAAACGAATAAAAAAATTTTAAAAAAAGGTGAGTAAAATGAGATCTGTGCAATAAAATGATTGATGGTACAACAAAACAAAAAAATAATAATAAATAAATTGAGGAAGGAAAGGAATTTCTTGAACACTGCTTTAATTCTTTTTTTTTTTTTTTGTCAGGTGAACATTGGTTAAATAAATTAATCTTAAATATTTACGAAAACATATTATTTTATAAAAATTCAATTCTGGGCTGATTGTTATAGAAAAAGAAATGATTGTAAAGCCATTTCATTGCTAGTGTACATTCGAGATACAAAATATCCGAGAACTTACATACGAGAGTATATAAGTTTTAATAATGTATTTGGTAATGCTTACGTTTACAAGCGAAAGCTCCCAAATAATACATATGTCGTTGCAGGCTGATTGGAAAATCCTGCTCTTAGGAAATGTCACCGTCATTTAGCGAAATGCCAATCTGATTAGAAAAGCCACCAGTAGTTTCTGCCCAACGTGGTACTTTTAAGCTTATCATAACAGTTCATACGTCTTTAGGCTAATTGTAACATTCGTTTAAGAAAAAAAAAACTTTCTGTCATCAGGAATTAGCAGCTTAGGATCATTGCTAGTGACTTGAATTGAATGAAACTCCTTGTAATAAACCGAAAAACTGATACATTTACAAACGTAAACTTACAATAATGTATAGATGGAGAATGAGCTATTGAATGTAAACAATAACATGTTTTCTAAAACCAGAAGAAATAAAAAAATAAAAAAACTTCAGGCGTATTCCGCCGCTCATGTTACGTTTACGAAGTGATCTTTGAACAGGCTTGATATTCTAGGAAGTGCCTAAATTTAAACCTTATTTTCGCATTCATTGTTATTTTTTGGGTAGTTTCATGACGTGCTTGTGAAGTTGTCCGAATTCGTTTTCCGCCAATATTAAATGCATTAAGCTGAAGTTACAATTACAATAAAAGAACGCGTTATATTCTAAACTCTGCAAGTTACTTAATATCAGGGCTAAAGAGAATAGAGGGGCTAGTTCACTCCGCTCTTAGAGCTGAAGCTACGATTTTCCTCCTCATGACGTCACTGTGTCCACAGATCTCGGAGAACGCGAGCAGAGATATGATAACTTTGCATCTTTCTCTTTGTAAAAATAAGTTAGACTTTTTCTGGTTATTAGCTTTCAAACTTTACGTCTTTAACACATTATTTCCGTTCATAAACATAGTTCAAAAAAACTTTCTTGGTTATTATATTAAAAAAAATACCATTTTAAACTTATAAAAATGTTTTACTAGTTGNTCGAAAAACTGATACATTTACAAACGTAAACTTACAATAATGTATAGATGGAGAATGAGCTATTGAATGTAAACAATAACATGTTTTCTAAAACCAGAAGAAATAAAAAAATAAAAAAACTTCAGGCGTATTCCGCCGCTCATGTTACGTTTACGAAGTGATCTTTGAACAGGCTTGATATTCTAGGAAGTGCCTAAATTTAAACCTAATTTTCGCATTCATTGTTATTTTTTGGGTAGCTTCATGAAGTGCTTGTGGAGTTGTCCGAATTCGTTTTCCGCAAATATTAAATGGATTAAGCTAAAGTTACAATAAAAGAACGCTTTATATTCTAAACTCTGCAAGTAAATTAATATAGGTTGACGAGCCTTTTTCAAACTCAGACGTAAAAATAAATTGGAAGTAGTAACATGGAAGTTTTACGACGAATATTTACCTCTAGTGTCATCTGTGCATAGCTTTACATGGTCACCCCTCCATATGCATGACTGACAACTACTACACTTTTATTAAGTGGTTGACAATTAAATACTTAAGTTTTTAATATTCTTGATAATTTTGTCAACATTTTAAAGACCTCGCCGTAAGAGAATTGGAAATAAGTGGGTTTTATATGAACTTTTGATTCATGTAGTGCTGTAAGAAATTACTCTAAATTAAATTTACAAAACAAAAAATCATGCATTGAAACATAAACTTAGAATGCTACAAAAAGAAATTTTTTCTGAAAAAACTTGAATAGTTAGCAGTCCTGTATATGTTGTAGAAGGCTAACTGGAAAATTTTGCTCTTTGCAAATGTCCCCGTCATTTAGCGAAGTGCCAGGCTGATTAAAAAGTCCAGTATTTTCGATTCAGCTTGGTATTTTTAGGCTCATCATATCAGTCCGTATTCCATCAGGCTGATTAGAACATTTGCAGAAAAATTATTGAGTCATACTGAACTTGCTAAGGATTATTGCAATCGACTTAAATTAAATTACACTGAATGTAGTAAACCAAAAAACTAATAACAATAATGACTAATAAAAACTAATAATAATAATAAATAAACCAGACTCATTGTAAGAAGCCAGAAATCTGTCATACTGAAGATTTTTCTATTTTGCCTGATGCATCGCAAAATGACTTCAGCTGTTTTCAAAGACCCAGATTTTATAGACTAGACTAGATATTATCTTTTACGCTGAATCAGTTAAGAAAAAACTCCAGCTTCATATGAAATCATGTCAAAAGATATAGACTTTGAAACTAGCTTATATTATGAATATATTTTTATAACTGTTAAAAAATAGTGTTAATTATTAATATTTACTCCTCCTGAAACAAGTTAGAAATTAATTAGTTTAATTACCAGTTCTTGCTCTTTTCAGGGTAATAATCAGTTTTAATAGGGTACATATTCATTTATTTATTTTTTCTCTTGAAAAAAAAATCTGAACGTAATTTTTTTTATTTATTTAACTAAAATTAGTCCAATTTTCTCTAAAATATTAAAAAATGATAACTGCGACTTTTGCGACTCCCTCTTGATAGCTTTATTAAAACATATTTAATAAGATAAGTTAAAAGTTAGTAATGGAATAACTAATTTGCATTTAATCTGTATGTAAATTTTAATGATTTTATTAAAATTAATTTTTTTAAATCAAAATTGTGAAGATATGTATTCGAATTATCCTCAGAGATGTTGCCCCTACCTACCAAATTTTGTTTATGTGAGAATAAAATTATAATCAGCTACCGATTTTTGTTGTAAACAAAGGGGAGGGGGATAAATACAATAATGGGAAATTTCTGTTGAAAATATTTTTCTTCAATTGGTAACATATATTTCTTACAATTCCTTAAACAAAATGCTTTTATAAAATATCATTCGTTTAACTCTCTATTTCTTAAGATGAGACGGAAGTTTCATTGGCTTGCTGACCTCTTGTTTGGTTTCGAAAATTTGAAATTTATATCTATTTATTTAGTTTAGAAGAAGCTCAACCTTGCACACCAAACAAAATTATATATTTCATATTTCTTCCAATGTGGTAGACTGGTGGGACTTTTTTATAATTTCATTGACGAAAGACTTCTTAATTTTTAAGAATGGTGGTACAGGTTTCCTCTGCATTTCCGTCGGGGCGATATCTCATCTAGTATATCTTTATGAACCACTGTTGTGTACTTCCGATCTTCCAAATACACATTGTTTCACAACGGCTGATAATAGTTTGATAGTAGAACATTTGATAGCGCCCTTAACATCACGTGATACCATACGCCCACTGTTGCGGATGCGCAGGCAATCTCTTAACAAATGAGGTGAAAGTGTAACCATGAAACGCACAGATAGAAGTGAAGCAAATAATCGTCGGATGTCTCTTTTTCGTGTTTGGCAGGCGTGGTAGTGCCTAGAAGGGTGTGCGCCTTGTTTACAGTTTGTTATTAGTGTTTGAAACTGTCAAATGCAATCATGTTGATTTCGTCGGATAAAAATGAATCCGCAAGTAATGGATTATCACTTAATTTTACTCCCGATTCTCATGAGAAACCGCAACAAAATGGGTTTCACATTCCAGTGCAGAATGGGAGCATAGCAACTTGCACTCAGGTAGGTGTGCATGCCCTCAACGGAAATAGAAACATGCTTCGATATAATTACATACAGTTTAAAAAATTGAATTTATTTTACGTTTTCATAATAAAACACGCCACGATTTCGTGTAACCTTCTTTTTATATTTGGCTGTTAGCAATTCTTTGTTTACGTTTGTATTGCATTAAACATTACACTTGATTTTTATGTTTATGACTGATGATAAACCTGTGAACATTATTTTGTGAATAAAAAATATCAATATTAACCTCTTGCATGATAGAAAACTAAAATCTTTTTAAATATTAAACCCTACATTCAGTTTCCGTTTAAAAATTACAACTATTGTATTTACACTTTTATGAAAAAGTTTTTGTTTTTATCATCGAAATATGATTACCATTGCTTTTGACACAATGATCATAGAATTATTCTTAGGAGCTTGGAGCAAACGAATAATCATCTAATTTTCTGAGTGCATTAAGTTTCCAATATATTGTTATATTTTTTGTGACATAGACGTAGACTTGTGCTAAAATGAAAGAAAATTATTAGCAATATATTACAGTGATCATAAACTATTTTTGGTTCATTCTTCATTGTTACATTATTTGAGTTTCCAATATATTAAGTTCTATAAATAGATAAAACATAGAGCCTTATCCTTATGCCAGTTTATAATCAACTAAATTTTTGAATGCATTCTTGATTATTGCATTAGGTATGAATTCCAATATATTGTGTTGTATATGTGACACATAACGTAAACTTATGCTAAAATAAATAAAAATTGTTAAGTAGTATCTTAACATTGATCATCAACTATTTTTTTTAAGTTCATTGTTGCATTATTTAAGGCTTCCAATATATTGAGTTAATGTGCGAGATATAACATGAAATTATGATGAAAGAAATGAAAATTATTTTTCATATATTATAACAGTGATCATCAACTAATTATTTAATGTGTTCTTCATTATTGCCTTGAATTTCTAATATATTGGGTTATATTTTTGTGTGACACCTAGCATAACTTTGAACTACAAAATGAATGGAATATATTGACAAGAAATTTTTACAGTGATCAGCAGTTATTTTTTTAGTGGTTTACTTTCTTCAATGAACTGTTCCTTTCCTTATTTATTTTACTTGAAAATTATTATCAAACTTTTCACAATGATCAAACAATTTTAGTGCATTTATTTTGAATTATTGTATTATTGGATTTTGGATAGAATAATAACTCTTAAAAAAGAAGGTAAAAATTATTTCATACAAAGTTGATGATAACTATTAACAAAATATTATAACCATCATATTTTGCGTATGTCATCTCATGATATTTTGTGCATGTCATCTTGGTTGTAAAAATTGGACGAAAAGCAGAGTTCGTGATTTTTTTGATTTAAATCAGATTTTTTTTTTATTCAAATAAACTGTAAGAACTTTAATTTATGATTAAAAAAACTTTATAAATGCTTAATCAAAATTAAATTAATATTAAAACTATATTATAACAATATTTAGAACAATATTTTAACTTACTTAAATAATTTTTCAATATAATACATAGCTTTGAATCAGGGTTGGGGTTTTGGACAGGACATGTGGGTTTTACTGTCTTAAACTGGGTAAAACTGTCAAAAACCTTGAACTTTGGTAAAAGGTAAAAATTCTATGGGTGTAACCACTGTACACATATAATAATTACATGTATCAATAAATATTTGATATTTTTTATGCAATTTACTTCAACTTATCAAAAAAAAAAATAATATAATAGGAAAAGGCTTATAATTTTTGAACCTCCATAATTCATTGAACAACAAAAGTGAATACCTAATCCTTTAAATATAAATATGCTTTTAATACTGATAAATAATATTTTTGCATAAGGATAAATAATGCAATATTAAAATATAATAATTTTTTTTTAAAAAAATATTAAATTTGTTTAAAAATTAACCTTTTAATTTTCACATTATTTTTTTAAAAAAATTTTATAATTTCTGCATCACAGGATGATAAACAAGACATCTATTTTTTAAAAAAAATTGTTTTTAAATATAAATATATTAGTTTAAATTGAAAATACAAAATAACTGAAAAATGTATTAACAGTTTTGAAGGGCATAACGTCAGTTTCAGTTACTGATACTGGTGATGTATCACCACTATGCTAAAAGAATTGATCATGAATGAAATAACAGTATTCTTGAATAGTAGTATAGGTAAATAAACCTGTTTATGGCTAACCAAGCACTTAGTCCCTAATAGCTTAACCTGTATGGCAAGGTTCAACTTCAGTTATGTACTATTGAGTGAGAGGACCAATTGAACTTAAATACTGATTAATCTTCCTTTGTTTAATGTTTAAATTGAAGAGTCAAACAGTACAGTCAACCCCGCTTAAAGGAATACCATCGGTTCCAGTCAAATCTATGCTATTAAGCGGGTTATTCGATTAAAAGGGGAGTGCTATAATCAATCCAAAATTCTGAATTTGTGTGAAATTTTGCTTTTTAATGGTATTTAATGCGTAGTGTAGCGTTTCGATTAAATAAAATCAGATTTATGATCAATAATCAATTATAATTAAAACTTTCTGCCTTAGTATCATAAAAAAATATCATTTAAAGTTACATAAAAATAAATCATTGTTGGTGAATCATGTTGGAACTGAAATATTATTTAATCCCATCCGAAAAATTCTATAATTGAAGACTGTTTTTTGTACCCGTTTAATTTGTCAATTTATCACAATTAGATTTTCCCTTTTAGTTTCTACTAAAATTTTCATGACTTGTGCATATTCCTTTCAAACCCATTCAGAATTTTTTTTTTTTTTTTTAAATCTTCGAAACTTGAGAAATTCCTAATTAATGCGCTATTTTAGTTGGGGATTTTTTTTAAAATTTATTGATTCTAAGATTCATTTTTTTTTCAATTAATTTAAATCATTCCTTTTCGCTCTCAACTTGCAACCAATTCAAAATTATTCACAGGATTAAGCAAATATTCTACTTTAGAGAGAACATTCTTTACACTAGTGTATTAGATTTTTAAAACTTAATAATGCATCAAGAGGGGACCACAAGTCTTGACCTAAAAACAAATCACTCTATCCCTTTTTCACATACTAAATGATGTGCGAGTGAAGTAAGTCAAAGAGGAGTAAAACAACCTTCGTTTACTCCAATGTATAACTGGCAGCAAGATTTGATTAATTTTTCAACTTCATCCCAAGCACCTACTAATGACTAAGAAGTCCCTATTGAAATTACCATCTTGTATCCTTATCTTAAAAAGGGAAATTGTATTTTAGCTGGTGAAACATTTCTCAAAAATAAACAAATTTTTTCCATTTCAGTACCACCTTCTTTATGCAATTAAGCGGGGACAAAAAACCACAAATAACCGTTTAAACGGGGAAATTTAACATTAGTTTAATATAAAATGATTTGGTTCCATTAAATTTTATTCGTATAAGCGGGTTATTCGATTATCCGAGGGGCGATTAAGTGGGGACGACTGTATTAATAAAACATTATACTTTTAAAAACAAATATTCTGTAGTAGATTTAATTATCAATATGTTATTAGTTCTATGTTTATTTTACCTCTTAAATATTGTTCAGATAAAATTGTGACATAATTTGAGTAAAAGGGTTTTGGACAGGACGGTTTAAACCGTGGATTAATCCATTCTGTCCTAAACCTTGCCAACCCTGCTTTGAATGCATAGCAACCATTTCGAAACAAATGCATGATTGAAATTTAAGGAATAGTTCAAATAGAAAATTTAAAGAATACGTTATAGGTCTGTCTAGGTTTTTCTGAGAGATAACTATTTTGTGAAAATGTAGACATAATTTTTGAAAATTTGGATTTATCGTTTCTTACGAGACACAAAAATAAAATTTTGAGAAAAGAGTATTTTGTGGAATTGTTCTACCGTTTTTTCTAAAGTTACATTTGTGTAGGTGCCGGTAAATTTCACTTGGACAGACCCCTGTACTTTAACTATGAAAACAAAGTTTCAATTAGCAAACCATAATTTTAATTTAAAATTTTTTTTTCACGCTTGATTTTTAAAATGACAAAATAAATGTAACAGATTGTGTTTATAAATGTATTCATTCATCAAAAAGTAAATATTTAATCTATATATATTTTTATATTAAAATATTCACTTTTAACTCTATATCAAAATAGATAAGTTAAGCTAAAAATATTCTTTTTTTAAAAATCTATGTACTCATAGGAATTTTTTTTTCACAAAATTTCTTTATAGAAAATCAGATGTCAAAGATACTGTAAACATATTATGAGAAAAAATACCAGTTAATGAAATATTGTTACAAATAGAGTTTGAAAGGGAAGAATGACACTATATCAGGAAAAAAATATCTGAATTTATTGCCCTTTTTTTTCTTTCTATTTTTGGCAAATTAGGTATTTTCTTTTTAATATGCTTTTAAAAAAGCTTCTGAAATATACATTTTCCACCAATAAAATATAATGTAGATTTTAATTCCATGCTTTTTCTTTCAAAGGGTAGAATTTTAATTAACGATATTTACATTATTTTTTGAAAAAATTCATGTTTAATAATTACTTTCTACAGCTATGCAAGTCAGCATTAAATGTTTACTTTAATCTGTGCTTTCAATCTCAAGAATCAAAAGATTTTTAAAAATTTAATTTTCAATGTGTTGGAATTTAACACACACCAAGAAAGAAAGTAATTTCGTTAACTAAAATTAATTAATGCAACAATTTATTTAAAATAAATTTTGAAACTAAGAAAAGAAAATAATAAAAGTATCAATAATTTAAAACACTGTTTTTTAACTTTTATAATCAATATATATAAAAAAAAATTAGTTGATTTAAATCAATGATTTGTTTTAAAAAAATCATTTGATTTAAATCAAGCTGATTTAAATCAACAAACCCTGACGAAAAGTTTTCTACATTGTCTTGAGTTGAAAGTTTATATCATTAATTTAAAAC